GGGTTTGGGTAGCACTGGGTTGGGATGTTTTCTTGATGTGTACTTAACCTTTACATAAAACTCTCTCTTATACATGAGTTTCTGTGGATTTGTTTCTCTGAAGAACCCACACTATAACAAAATTAGTAAAACAGTAACCCTTTCCCCTGGTTTTATCGGTTTTTGCTCTTCCTTCCTAAAATGTGTTAAACACTGCGTGGACGGGAAATAATGCAAACTTTTTTTATATTTCCCTCTCCACACCAAATAAGGCAGCACTGTCTATACTGTAAGGATCTTATAAATGATTGTGAATTATGGGCGAAATCAGTTTACTAAGCAAAGTGCACTCTGATGGCTTTGGGGATTGTTTCCCTATGAACAAGATGAAGGCAGTGTGTTTTATTGATGCTCTGGACCATTCTTTCCCCAGCAGAACAGTTACACACCTTTTGGTGGGCCATGTTTGTTCTCTCATAAAATCTTGTGTCATCACAACGTCCCTGTGATAGTTTGTGCCAACCTGGCTCCTGTGGGAGCATGTGAGCAGAGTCTAGCCTGTCAATCAGGTTGCAGCTTGATTGGAGGGCTAGCGAAATTAATGACTCTCGAGGCCTGGCCTCTCCCTTTCTCCCCGGAGGCAGGCCACACTCTCTCTCTGCCTGGTGAGACCCGCTGAGACCAGCGAGCTCTGTGATGCACCCACCGCCATTGGATCCACAAGACCTCACACCCACCGGCCTGTGATCCTCCTGCTTCTGCATCGTTGCATGTGGCTCTGCGAGTCTGAAGAGGGACTGGGGGACTAGTATCAGACTTAGGGACTTGAGTTGGACTTATGGACTTGCTCTGGACTGGGCTGGGATGTTTGCTTGATGTATAATTACTTCTTGCTATAAAACCCTTTCCTATGCATATAGGAGTGTCTCTGGATTTGTTTCTCTAGTCAACCCGGTCTGACCCAGTCACTCAGAAGCCAGATCTGTGACGTCATGAACATGGGCGCCTAACTCTGACTCTTGGAAGGTGAGCAGAGGGAATTGGGGTGGTGACAGCCTTTCCACTTGTCACATGACAGAGGAGGGCAGGGGTGGCTGAGTAATTTTTCTGACGCTATAAACCATCAAACATTCATTATAAACCACAGACAGGAAAGAAGGGAAGCATTCTTCAGTCATGTGGGAACTGCTGCATCAAGCAATTGAATCCACCAATCCTGAGTCTCCTTTCAACAGACAGCTCAACCTGGGGAAATGACCTGTGTGGTGGGGAGCGCAGCACCTCGCCAGGGTATATAAAGGGCCCAGAGGGAGAGGAAGGCATTCAGACCTGAGAAAACCCACCTGCTGTCAACAATCCTCCCCAGACCAGCCCCACCTCCCACCATGACCGGCTCCTGTTGTGGCTCCAACTTCTCCTCCCTGAGCTGTGGGGGAGGCTGTTGCCAGCCCTGCTGCTGCAGAGACCCCTGCTGCTGCCGCCCAGTGTCCTGCCAGACCACCGTGTGCCGCCCTGTCACCTGTGTGCCTCACTGCACACGCCCCATCTGTGAGCCCTGCCGCAGGCCCATCTGCTGTGACCCCTGCGGCCTGCAGGAAGGCTGCTGCAGGCCCATTGCCTGCTGCCCCACGTTCTGCACGGCGGTGGTCTGCAGGCCCTGCTGCTGGGCCACCACCTGCTGCCAGCCCATCTCTGTGCAGGCCCCCTGCTGCAGGCCCCCCTGCTGCCGGCCTGCCCCCTGCCGCACCACCTGCACCACCTCCTGCTGCTGAGCACCCCAACACTGAATGTGCCGGGTGAACAGAAAGGACAAACTCTTGTCTCTCCTGTTGGATCAGAGGAGAGTAACCATCTTTGCAACCTACATGTTCTTCCACAAGTAGCATAGCTGTGGACTGCCGGTCCACTTCCGTGGTAGCTCTGGCTCTATGTGACAATCTTGAGAAGATTTCTGCTTTCACTCCTTCAAATCCTGCCTTTAAAAAAAGAGTACACAAGCTTCCTCTTGAATGGCACTCTATCACACTAACGCTGAATTATTTCTACAATGTTTTCTGACATGAATATTTTATAGGCTTTTCTTTGCATCATGAGAAATAAACTTGTATTCCTTGTTCTTACTTACTCTTCTGTAAAATCTCTCTTTTGGGGGCCACAGGGAAGGGAGGAGTCACCAGGCTGCAGTAACGCACCGGTGAAACACACTCTATTCCTCTGGTTCCTTGGGGGTTCTTCCTCCCCCCCACTACCATGACCCCAGTGCCGCTTCTCCATTCAGACTAGACCGGAGCATGCACGCAGCTACAGATAAGAGATGGGAGCTCACGACACACAGACGCCAAGAACAGGAGTGGGAATAGTGATACCAGAAGGGTAGGGGCAAGAGGGGGAGAGGAAGGGAGAAAGGGGGAACCGATCACAATGATCAACACATAACTATACACCCCTCTCTCGGGGGAAGAACAACAGAAAACATGGGGGAAAGGAGACAGGGGTCAGTGTGAGATATGAAAATAATAACAATGTACAACCTATCAAGGAGTTATGAGGGGGGTAGACAAAAAAAAAGAGCTGATATCAAGGGCTCAATAGAAAGTAAATGTGTAGAAAAGAATGAAGGCAGTATATGTACAAATTCACCTGTTGCAAGCGATGAATGGGTTGTGACAAGAGTTGTAAGAGTCCCCAATAAAATGGAAAATAATAAAATCCCTCTTTTAAACAAAATTAAATTATGGTATAAAGAGGCCCAAGAGTCTAAGAAAGCAGGATTTTCCAAATCCTTCCAATTCTGAAAGAGGAACGAATTTGAAAGAGGTGCAAGCTTTGTTTTGCAGGATTCAGGACATCTCGTGTGACGGATCTTCAGATTTCAAGTCTAAGCCCTGCGGTGATGCTGTGGAGCTGGGGACTAAGGCAGGTCTCTGATATTATTGAAGGGGACAAAGGAGACCCCCAATCTAAATATCCTTTCATTCAAATGACACAAAGCCTCCCGGCCATTGAGTCCGTGCTGAGTCAGGCACGTGTGAGGAGTCTGAAGCGGGACAAAGACCAGACCAGCTCATCCAGATGGGGAAGACCATCTGCACGAGGTCATAATGGCGTCCAAGGATTTACAGAAACGTTGGCCCTTAAACAGGCCATGGATTAGGAGAGAAAGTCCCACAAAGTATGATTGCTGGCAGAGCAGCACCTCACAGAGACAGTGCGGACTATAGATGTGAGGGTGACACCCTGATTGGAAAGCATGCATTGTGCTCGACAGAGGGCTCACGAGATTGGTTCAGGGACCTCCAATCAAGGCATTCAGGGATGACTCATAACCAGGTGAGACCCTCATCCCCCAATTTTCATCAAGGAAACACCTGGGCAAGGCCTTAAGGGAGAGACTGTGCCTCTGTGAGCTGGCTTAGGGACCAGTAGGAATCCACTTCCAAATACACTCTACCTGAGGGTCTAGCGAGGAGCCCTGGTGGCGGAGTGGGTACCTGTTGGGCTGTGATCCGCATGGTCGGCTGTTCAAAACCACCAGCAGCCCTTCTGGAGAAAGACTGGGCTTTCTACTCCCTAAACAGTTACAGTCTAAGAAACCCACAGGGGGGCCGCCTGTGAGTCAGCATTGAATCTGTGGCAGTGGGTCTGGTTTGGGTTTGAAGCCCAAGCTGTTCATATCACTGATTGACGGTGAGACAGAGTTCACTGGAGGCAACATCTACGTGGAGTTCCTTGCAAAGGACCTTAGGGCTTGCACTGTAAACCTCAGCCTTCTGCAAACTCCATGCTCAACATTTGAGCTCCAGTACAGTAGGAGCTTGGCTCATGAATAACACATACACTCACTCGCTAATAAGCAGAAGGAAACCCAAGTGAGCTTATTGGCTCTCCATTCTAGAAAACTGTGAAGTGATGGATGGCAAATTAGTATCTTTGTTTCTCTAACTACTACCTTATTGACACGGTCAGGTGAGCACTGGACTACTAACTACCAGGTTGGTAGTTCAAACCCACCAGCTGCTCCTTAGGAGAAAGATGAGGCTGTCTGCTTTCATTAAGATTTACAGCCTCAGAAACCCTGTATCAGGTCCCCAGCAGATGGAATTGACTGATGGCAGTGGGTTTGGTATTTAGTTAACCCCTGAGCAGCCAAGGCTGGATGAACCACTCTTGATCTTCTCCACTGCTCCTCCCAGCACCATCATGACCAGCGGTGAATGTCGTAGAGCCACTGCTGGTGAGATGAGAGGGAGAAAGCGAGAACTGGTTAGAACCCTTTGGAACTCCAAACCCAGTGTCTATTGAGACAATGCCAGTGTGGAGGCAAGGGCACCAACAGCCATCCACATTGATATGTTTTTGTTCTTGCTAGGGCACGCTTTTAGGCTGGCCAGGAAACGAACCGCTGTTGCTGCCCGAAGAAATGTGCTTTGTGTTCCAAACGTATGACTTATGAGGAGCCTTTCTGAATGTGCACTCTGTGTGCTTGGGAACATCGACCGAGCCCTGGAAATTTCTCGAGCAAAGCAAGCTTTCTGAGGGCAGGGGTCCTGGATGATTTTGTTCCCTACTGGAATTCCTGCGGATCTGGCACTGATTGAGCACATAGTAAATAATTTGGTAACCACTTTTTTAATAACCAAGCGCATGTATTCTCTAGAGAGCTACATCATCCCCCAATCTCTCCTCACTCTGGATATGTGCATTCTTACAACAAAGCAACAAAAAACATGAGAAATCCTTTTCTTCAGTTAAAGATTTCCAAACAAGAAGTCCATTAAATTCAGAACTTTGTACGTTTTCAGTATGTGCACAAGGAGTGTTCGCTTGACTGGGGGTTGCCAATAGGTTCACAAGTCCAATTTCTTTCCACGTTTTTTGGGGTAACATAAATAGTATTTTTATTGTGTTTTTGGTGAAAGTAAACACAGCAAACCAGGTTCTGCTCACACCAGTTCATTGATAACCATCATTGACACGTTTTACCTTGTGTCAACGATCTCTTGAATTGTATTCGGGTTGTTTCATTTCCAGTACTCTCGTTTCCCTGTCCCCATGGCATCTTCTCATCTTTGCTTTGGGCTCAGTGTGGACCTTCTGGACTCACACAGTTGGTCTCTCAGTAAAGCGCTGGGTGTAAAGACAATGGCATTGCAGCACCCACGATTTTGTATGTCACCCTGCTTTTCTGCTAACGGGTGATCTCAGAATAATTTTGATTTGATTCAAAGTTTAAAGAGGCAATCATAGTCTCAGGGAGTCCTCTGGTCTCTGGTGGTCCAGCTAGTCAGGCCTGGTTTAGGCATTGGAGCTTTGTGCTGCGTTTTCTCCCATTCTAACTGTGCACCTAGTCGGACTGGGCAACGAGGGTAACCGGGCACCATCTAGTTCTTCTGGTCTCAGGGGAGCAGAAGTCCCTTTTCACATGTTCTTGGTCGCCACTTTTTAAAACTCTCCAACTAATCTATGGCTTCCTCTCAGAAGGACCCTTGTGAGACTTCTAGAGATATCCTCGTCCAATGGCATTATCTCAATTAGGGGATGTTTTGCTTTCCCTCAAGGTCATTGCTGTGTGGGTTCTGCTTGCGTCCCGAGGGACTCCGTGTCCTGGTCGTCACCTTGGCTGGAGCAGTTCTGGGGTGGGAGGCAAGAGACTGAGCCAAAGACACGATCAATAAAAAGATTTAAGCTCGAGCCTCCTCCCAAGACAGACGTTTGCGTTCTTTTGGCAGTCGGTGGTACTTTCAACATTCTTCACCGGCACCACACTCCAAATACATGGATTCTTCTTCGGTCACCCTTATTCAATGCCTAACTTTCACATGTGTATGAAGCAATGGAAAATGTGTTCTCTAGGACTTAGCAGCAGCTGGTTTGATGTTGTGAGTCTCGCTCCTTGGGGTGTCTTTTGCTATTTCCGGAAGACCTTGTGAGAAGTAATTCTTCCAATTCCTGAGGACATTAATGGGACACAATTATTTCAAATGACTCTAAAAGTTAGCTTTTCATAAATCACAATGATTTCAAGAAATAAGTTAGCTGATAAAATTTCTAAATGAAACAGACACGTTTTGAGGATCGGGAATATGATGCAACCCTATTCCTCAGCTCAGGGGCATTCAAGCACATGGTACTTTGACAGCTGTTTTTAGAATGAGTATTAGCTCCAACACTCACTAGTGTAAATGAATGCACCTATTTCATTTTTTTCACAATGCTTAGAACACAGAGCTCAATATTAGCCGTTATGAAACTTATACATAATGAAACTTATCATGGTTTAGAAAACTACAGTGGAAATCAATGAGTATATATCTAAGACAAATGCCACTGGTTGTTTTGCTTTTAATCATTTTATTGGGATCTTTTACAGCTCTTATAACATTCTACACATCGATTGTATCAAGCATATTGGTACATATGTTGCCATCATCAATTCCAAAACATTTTCTACTTGAACCCTTGGTATCAACTCCTCTTTTCCCCCTCCCTCTCCTACCCTCCCATCCTTTTATTATTATTATTTTATATTATTATCCTTTCATATCTTACATTGTCCATTGTCTCCCTTCATGCACATTTCTGTTATTCATCCCCTTCGGGGGTGGAGGGGTGACGGTTATATATTCAACCCTGTGATGGCTTCCCCCTTTCTCCCCTCCCCCCCCCAACCATCCCCCTCCCCTCATGATGTCACTACTCCCCCTACTCTTCCTGAGGGCTCTGTCTGTCCTGAATTCCACGTGTGGAAAGCTGTTATCTGTACCAGTGTTGT